ACGTGACTAAAACTCTTAAAGGGTGCTAGGTTGGAACGGGCCGTTCCAATTCCAGAACGAGCCGTTCCAAACAAGTCAAATTTGGAACGGGCCATTCCGGAAAGGGGATTTTTGTGTTAATTTTCACTCTGGAATGGGCTGTTCCGTTTTTAGAATGAGCCGTTCCAGGGAGCTTAATTTGCACATAAAGATTGGCCCAGAACGGGTCGTTCTGGTCCCCTTCTGATTCTTATAAATAGAAGCCTCGGGCACAGTTCTCAGGGTGGCCAGAGAAATTTCGAATAAGACTCTTTTGAGCACGAAAATTATCTATCTCTCTCCCTTCTATTGTATTTCTTGAGATTTGTGTCGCATCTCTATATTCTCTCTCCCTCCTATTGTATTTCTTGAGATCTGTGAGGCATACTGTAGTGTGAAAGGTCGCCACAAAGCACCTTCTCCATATTGGAAGATTCAATAAAGCTCGTTCAAGAGGTATTTCAGTCAATCTTCTTCTCTTCCTTTTATTTCTCATCTTTATCTCTTTTTTTGTTATAATAAACATCATAATGCAGATATTTTAAGGTTAATCATTTAATTTATATTTTAAGCATGTAAATAAATATTAATAAAGGGGATTCAATATTTAATTTATTAATTCTTATTATGTTAACTTCATCATAGGGTACCGATTGAGGGCGCTATAGGGGTGTTTAATACCTTCCCTACATGTAACCGACTCCCGAACCCAATTTTGGTTATCAAGGCCATAGTTGGATCTTTAAAAACCTTTTCTTTTTCCAATGTTTTGAGTAAAATATTGGTGGCAACTCCATGAACCTATTTTCAAAATCATTAATTAAGAATTAGTCTGGTGTCCGGGCATTCCTTAATTAATGAGACTTTTAAAAGGATGTTTAAACCATATGTCGCAAGATCAGAAATTTTCGGGTTGCGACAGTGCTTTCTTGTTATTGCAAGTTTCATGATACAAGATATTAACCATGAATGGAAGAGTCTTTGGGCTATTACTTGTAGACACCAGGTTTTGTCCGAGCTTTATCTACAAGGGTCAAGAAGCTTCTAAGACGAGAGAAGTAACCCCCTGAAGCCGAGAAACATACAAAAGCAAACCGAAATGGAACATAGGACATACAGGAAGCTTTTCTGCACCAAAAGGTCAAAAACCCTAATCTAGGCTTAGAACAACTATTCCTAAAGGGAGAACGACCGTTCCCCCCTCATAGAAAACATGGTCTGGAACGGTCGTTCTTGCTTACACGAAGAAGTACATTTTTCAGGTGTGGAATGGTTGTTCTGAGATTGGGAACGATCGTTCCCCTTCCCAGGTGCCTATAAAAGCATGTCATGGGCTCCACTTCTCACACTCCTCATTCTCTCTCCCCCTTGACTCTTTTTAGATCACTCTGAGTAAAATAAACTCATTGCAGTGTTTGATTAAAAGATCTTTGGTCCCTTTGGCAAAGATTTTGGAGTTCCTAGTTAAAATTTTCTCTTGAGTATTAAAGAGGTTCTTGTAGAGCGAGAAGGTTACCAAAAAGTACCCCTATACGATTTACGAGAAGATAATATAAAAGCTTGCTTTAGAGGTTTCAATCTCTTTTCCTTATTTTTTGCTTTCATTATATGCTTAGACTAGTCATCATGTAAACAATAAGGCAAAATGTAGTAGAGTAGGAATAATGTAGAAATAAATAGTCATGTATGCTTAATAAATAAAGGGATAAAAGTTTAATTATTTAGTTATAATACTAGAATTATCATAGGGTACCGAGATAGGGTGTTATGGGGTGCCTAACACCACCCCCACGCATAATTTCTGGCTATAAAGGCCAAAGCCGAATTTGCGAAAACAATTTTTTTTTTTATGTCTTGTGTAAAATATCGGTGGTGACTCTTTCGAACCATTTTCAAAACCATCAGACGAAGGATTAGTCCGGTCTTCGGGCAATTCGAAGCTGATGAGATTTTTCAAACAAAGGCCTAAACCATCTGTTGGTCAATGTCATAATTTTTTGGGTTCCGACACTACTCAATGTTCCCGAGGTGTCAAAAACTTTATTGCTAGTAACCCCCCCCCCCTTTTCGAGAACCCTACTATTGGTACTACCGAGACCGATCCCTCTAGAAACCCTAAACCCTCCGCAATGCTCGCAAAGAAAAACAGAGGGAAAAAAGACTTTAGGGTACTTAACCACATAAAAAGTTGAGGCCTAATGAAGGTAATTCTATTGCCAACATTGATACCTTTTTTGATAAGGGATTTGACCCTTTATCAGTGATGGATACGTCCAACCTCTCTTTGGCCTATCGAGAAGCCCTCAAGAAGATGTGTTCCGAGGTAGTGCTTGCTACCAATTTGATTTGCAAGCTCAATCATGGGTGATCACATAATACATCAAGATGAAACTTTCTAATCTTGGTGTCAACTTGGACGACATCAATAAATTGAAAGCTAATTTGGAGGAGAGTTGATACAAAAGATCATGAATTTCAATGAGGGCTTGTCTTAGGAGGTAACCAAACTGTAAAGTCAAGTTGGTGATCTTTATAGTCAAGATAAGAGAACCTAGGCTCAACTTCAACGCTTGGAAAAGGCTTACAACAAGCTGGTTATTGAGAAGAAAACGTTGAAAAGCCACCTCCAAGATCTAGTTAAGTCTCGAGCAAAGAGAGGGCAAAGAGAAAGGTAGTCGAGGCTAGCCTGGTGAAGGCAATAGAGAAAATGTTCATGTGACCGACTTTAAGAAGGCACTCCAACTAGTCATCCACTTCACTAACATAACAGACTTGTCTTTATTCTCTATAGATAAAGATATTTATGAGGGGAGAGTGGTTGATATGATGACTTGCCGAATAGGTATAAAATAGAGTTGGTTACCATTCCTCCAGAAAACCATGAAACTGTTAAAGACAACCATGTAGAGGTGGTGCAAAATGAGAAGGAAGTTGTCAACCCAAAATAAGTTGTAGTAAGGGGCCAATAGTGCCCAATGACCTGATGTAATCATTTTACTAAATTAATGAAATATATTTTTCCTCAAATGAAATTTATCTATTCAAGTCCAAGTAATTATATTATACTTGCCACGCTTTAATTGTATTGCATGTTTATTTATTAGCTAAGTATTAATGTTGGGTCGTGACTCTATTAAGTTCCCTTCATTTACTTGACTTTTAAAACTCTTACTTGACCTAGGTTTGTAGTAGAAAGGTTTTAATACTTGATTTTAGTACCAAGGTTTATATTTGGGTTTAGGTACTTGGTCAAGAGTTTATACTCGACCAAGGTTTATAGAACCAAGGTTTTATTTTTGGGTTTAGTACCAAAGTTTATACTTGGATTTGGGTACTTGGCTAGGAACTCGTGCTCGATCAAGGTTTGTGAACCAAGATTTTATACTTGGGTTTAGGTACTTGTCCAAGAACTCATGCTCAACCAATGTTTGTTATACTAAAATTTTATACCTAGGTTTAGTACCAAGGTTTGTACTTGGGTTTAGGTACTCGATTGAGAACTCATACTCGGCCAAGGTTTTCTATACCAAGATTTTATACTTGAGTTTTGGTACTAAGATTTTATACTTAGGTTTATGTACTTGGTTGAGAACTCATGTTCAATCAAGGTTTATGGATCAAGATTTTATACTTGGGTTTAGGTACTTGATCAAGAACCTGTGCTCGGCCAAGACTTGTTTTCCACCTTTTCGGTAACTTCAAAATGGATTTAGAAAATATAGACATGAAATATTTCTTAATGATATTGGGATGCCTTATTAAAACTTGGCCCATCAAAACCTCTCTTTAATGGAAAAAATGATTGGTAGTAGGAAAGAGTCTAACACCTCATTAAAATATGAAATACATTTATAATAAAATTTAAGGTGGGAAGCATTCCATGTTCTTGGATTCTCTAGATCGAATAGGTGTTCAAGCTTGTAGGCTCTATTGTTTAGACTTTGAATCACTCTAGAGGGTTTGTCCTAGATTGCCAACAACTTCCCTTCAACTATATCCTTTGTTACTTCACCTTGGACTCTCCAAACCAAATCTCTCTCTTGAAATTCTATTTTGACTAGCCGTGAAGAATGACGCTGACTTGCACATTTATGAGTTGCTTCTGGTTGGATTTGAGTTTGGTCCCAAAGGATGTCTACCAAGTTAAGCTCGACTCAACGGCAAAGGTGTGATTATAATTGACGATTGATTATGCAATTGTTCTAGTAAAACAATAAGTTTTAGTGTCGAAATCGTGGTGTCTACATGATTGACAACATCATCCAAATGTGCTCCAACTCATCTCCAACGCAACAATTGCCACTGAATCTGTGTTTCAAGTGGGCAACAAATCGTGAGGGAGAAAAAAGATATATTTCTTTGCGTTTTACGATAAATAATTTCTTTTAAGATTAATCTAGTGATTACAATTCTTGGTCCACCTAAACCACTTATCAAGGTGAACCACCCTAAATTTTGTCTATCTTTTGGTACAAAATTTTTTTGTGCTCATAAATTTGAGTCTTACATGAACTTTATCCCCTAAAACAAATTCCTATAACTCAAATTAATTATCGGTTAATATAACTTTTGAAACTTAAATTCTATGCCCTAAATCTTAATATAACTTAACATACCTTAAACCGGTCTCAAAAAACAAATATCTTGACAATTTCCTACTATTTACCCATTAGCTCACGCAACGATTTTCTACTCGTTTTACTGCTTTGTTGCTTAACAACTTTTTTACGAAAAAACAATGATTTTAACATTTCACCCTTCTAAAGAGCGATTTTCCTTTTCTATTTTCTTTTTCATACATTTCCTATAAAATTATAATGGAGGTTCATCTTTACTATTCCCGGGGAGAAAAAATAATTAAAACCGAGGTTTTATTTGACTACATTTGAGTTTATGAGCAGTTTGAGCGGAAGAATTGTGAAGTAGCAATGCAGCATCGTTTTTCAATTTCTAAATATTTCCATATTTTCTAGGTTAAATATAGTGTCTGGAACCAGATAACGCCAATACTTGGGGTATTAAAATCAATGTCGAGAAGTAAATAATTCCTAGTTTAGGTGTAGTCAATAAAAGTCATAAAAGTTGAGAGGCGAGCTTAATATGCAAGTTACTGTTAAGAATTATTCACAGGATATTCGACCTAATCATGGTATAACAAACCATAGTACACCTGATCTAGCTAGTAAACACTATTGCACAATATTCTATAAACCACAACCAAAAAACAGGAACTATTCACAGAAAAGTTCCATACCACGAATCAGGCCTTCAACTCCATTTCCCGCATCACGCTGCACGTTTCTGATTGTTAAACCTGTTTAAACAAGGCAGCTATTTCAAATTAAAAACGCCAAATGAATTGTTATTCTCAATGCCCCAGTTTAGAACTCACCCTAATACCATGAGACAGGATTAAACGTCGAATATATAGAGTCAAAATATAATCATGTTAACCTATTAGAAGGAGGATAAGTCAACCTAATTGCAAGTTACAATTGAATGATTGATTTATTCAGGGACACGTGAATACCCAAACAAAAGCCATTGATAGAGTATCAAGAGCGAAAGGAGAGCGACGGTAGGCATTAAGATTTATCTGAAATATTTGTTTCCCGAGTTCCTCCTTCCAATTCAATGGGTTTGTTCCAAAATCAGATGGTTTTAATGATGACTAGTGCCACACTAATACAAAAATGAATTATTGTTGTTGATGGTACCAAATTAGGCAGAGTTAAGGTACTTTTCCTTTATATTACTAATGCAGCTGCGCTTGTGGGCTTAACATAAGATTAAGAAGCCTGGATGATCTGGGACATGTACTGAGACACTTCTGCATGACAGATATCAAAATGAATTTAAGGGGGATTCTGTTTGCATCCTTCTTCTTTTTTTCTCTTCACATCCCCTCAATGTTTTTGTATTTTTTGCCAGAAATACTCTTCCCAAACAATGATTTTCAGGCCATTTATTTGACAATCGGAAAATGAACAGAATATAGTTTCCAAAATTTATAATATTCCAAAAATTAGTTTCCAATAAATCTGCACAACAACAGCAAAGCCTTATCCAACTAGGTGAGATTATGTGATCATAATGCCTTTCAACTTGGTTAAAGACAATTCAAAGATAATATTTACCTTGAGATCCATATTAACCAATTTTTTTATGTCCTATGTCTGCCTGTCCTCTTCACTGGACTAAAATTAATATACTCTTCTCAATGCAAAGGCTCAAACTAATCATTGAAGACAGCAAGAGGGTTGCATTGAAGCTGGTGAACGAAGAGGGGAAGGGAATGACAGTAGGAGAACAGAGAAACAGCGGGGTTATGAAGAGGGAGAGGAAGGTGTTGAGAGGAGACAGAAGCAAATGACGGGGAGGGGAAGAGGGGTACTAGAGAGGAAAGGGGAAAGGGTATTTTGGGGATATGAAAAAAACCAAATTAAAAATAGGAGTAGGCATGGCAACGGGCGGGGCGGGGGCTGG